AGGACGGTGGCGGAGCTACACCCGGGATGGATTTGGCCCCTGGGAGGCTGTCCGTCCGTCCCCCCCGGCGCTCCCGCCGTGACAGGACGAGTTACCAGCTGTTGGGGTTTCCGTAGCAATCGTTTGCATTTTTTAGCGCCAACACTGGCTTTTGCCAGGCTGGAAGGGAACACCGAGGAGCCCGATTAACGTATTGGCCTGCCTAGGAAACCGGCTAATCGCCTTTTTTGCTTAATTAGCTTGCGGGGTTGACGACAAGGAGGGGAAAGTGCTGGAAAAACCTCTCCCAGTGCAGCGTTTCACCCCGATTTACGGGGGTTACCTCGTGGGAACTCAGCCTGGAGCCGGAGAGGACACCGCTGTGCGCTTGCTTCTTGGAAACGGAGCAACCAGACCCCGGGGGGGGGAACAGTATCGGGCTCAGGGAAAATAATTTCTACCTGCGCAGAAGGTGTTTTTAATCGGTGATGGGTTATCGGAGAGAAGGTCTCCTCCCCGCGCGCCCACGGGGAGCACAAACGCTGACCTGTGCGGGAGGGCGGGGGGGATCTCTGGGACGCCATCGCCACGGAGCAGGTTGGTTTTGGCCACGAGACGCCACGTGTGCCTCGGCGGGGAGCGTGTCTGAGGGGGAGGCGCGGCGGGAGGCCGTCGAGGCCCCTGAAGCAGGCGCGCGGGGGTGAGCCGCATCCCTCGCTAGCGGAGGACGTCGGAGGGTCTGGCAGCTCCGGGGGTCTGGGGTCCGACAGGAAAATCTGAGATTTGCAAGTTGAAGCGGAGGCTGCCGCGGGGTGAGGAGGAGGAGGAGGAGGAGGATGGTTAGGCCGGTGTCCTTTGGGTTCCTCTGATGAAGGCACAGATCCAAAATTCTTGGGTTTTTCTCCAGAGCGCTCTCTCTTCGGAAAAGCCTGCGTCAGCCGCCTGCTCTTCACAAGCCTTTCCCAGCGAAACCACAAGCGATCGGATCCAGCGCTCCCCGGTTTCAGGGCAAAACTGCCCCCGGGCATCGGTGCCAAAGACACCCCGGGCCGAAACGGAGCACCCCGGCCTTCGGC